ACCCACTCTGTGGGAGCATACCGGCCGATGGGAGGTAATCTGCGGCAGAAGGCGGTCTCGGAGATATCCAGGTCCGATGCCATGGAGCGCTTTGAAGATGATGACCAGCACCTTGAAGCGCACCCGGAAGGCTACCGGCAACCAGTGCAGCTCGCGCAGCAGCGGTGTTACATGGGAGCGACGAGTCCCTCCCAACACCACCCGCGCGGCCGCATTCTGGACCAGTTGGAGCCTCCGGGTGCTCCTCAAGGGGAGCCCCATGTAGAGAGCATTACAGTAGTCCAGGCAGGAGGTGACGAGGGCATGGGTGACTGTGCCACAAGAAGTCTGATCCCCATGATTTCAAAGAATCCCATTCCGGACCCAGCTAATTTGAGTAGCTTTATATCCCATCAGTTCCCACACTAACTCAATTTCAACAACATCTCGTGTAAGATTAGTACAGGAATAATGTAAGGTTGCACAATGACAATTGACTACAGTAGGGGGCAGCACTTCACCAACCTTGGCTGATCTCAAATGCTGTGAGGAGTCTAGATGGGAAATTTTAGGATTACAGACTAAATTGGGAGTCTACTTCTTGGCTGGGAAATTTTACGATTATAGACTAGATTGAGAGTTTAAAAAGAATGCAGAAGACAACAGTAGCAAATTACAAATTTTGTAACAAATTTTGTGACCAATAAAGCACAGAAGTATCTACATAGTCACTGAAAATAAAGCTCCAGCAGGAGACACTACTTTTGCCATCATGATAGTGCATTTTTTTATGACATACATTTTCATACATGACCACACAGTGTATGTATGTGATGGCATCGGAATTTAATCTATTTACACAGGAGTAAGCCTGGCTGGACTCCATGCTGCTTCTGAGTAGGTATGTACTCAGAATTGTATTAAATTCATGACTTAAACCTTCCTCCGTCTATCTTCTGGGTACGTCCTGCAATGTAAAATGTAGAACAAGAGGAAGCAGCAATAAAATTGTCCTTCAGTAAGCTATTTTAGTTTATCTTAGGATTCATATTTAGTCAAAGATTTATTTAAAAATTATGGTCGATGTAATAGTCAAGTAGATGTTTAGATTAGATTTTGCATTTTTATTCAGCTATTGAGTCTTCCTCAAGCACCTGATATAGGCAGATGTTTTTTGATGGTATTAAAGCTATTGCTGCAGGATGTAAGCTGTTGCAAGTAAAGCTGCCTTTTTCAATTGACTGATGGTGATTTTGTCAATGCCAGTGGGATTCAAGTAGTGGTCAAGTAGTGTTTTGGGATTGCACCTAAGGCACCTATTACTGTTGGTGCTGTCTTTACTTTCTTTTTCCACAATTGTTCTGCTTCTATTTGCAGATCTTTGTATTTTGGTATTTCCTCCAGATCTTTCTCCTCTATGCTACTGTCTCCAGGCACTGCAGCATCCACTATCCAGACTTTTTTTTGTCTTTCTTATCAACAGTTGTTAAGTCTTGGGTATTGTGTGGTAGATGCTTGTCTGTTTGAATTCTAAAGTCAGAGAACATTTTAGCTTCTTCATTTCTATTACTCTGTCTATTTTTCCTTGCAGACAAATGGCATTTCTTGCAGATACAGGTAGTCCTTGATTTACAATCATAATGGAACCTGCCCATTACAGATTCAAGTTGTAATGGTTTATAAAGCAGGTCATCCATGTGATCAACCCAATCTTATGAACATTTTGTGGTGGTCATTAAGCAAACCCTACAGTCATTAAGCATACTTATTGCCGCAAACCAGAAGTAAATGCCAGTTTTCAGTAAAAAATGTTGTACCTCACAGTCACATGACTGTGGGATATTGCAAATGGCCATAAATGTTGGATGGTTGCCATGTGCCCAAAATGTGGTCATGTAGGGCATGGAATAGCCGGTGGTGGTTGGAACTTTGAAACTGGGTTGTAAGTACCTTGGGAGGAGTCAATTGTAACTTTAAATGGTCACTAAGCAACCAGCCATAAGTCAAGGATTACCTGTATTCCAATGCACCATGTCAATTTATATCTTGCTAATGTGTAATGCTTATTATTATTGTACCCATAAATACAATTTTCTTTACACTGTTTATAAGCTTAAGAAAAAGTCCATAGGCTGTAAACATGTTAATTTTCATGTGCTTAAAACAGGGTTAATTATAGCTCAGAATTACTCTTTTTACACCAGTATATCTCCATGCTATTATATAACTAACTGGTTTTATGGAATAGTACATTATAACTTTCCATCCCATTTAGATTCCAGATGTTGGGGAGATATGCAGTGGTTGTAGGTTTTTGGAGTATAAAGGGAAAAAATATCTAGAATAAAATTACTTGGATTTTCCAGACATTTTTATAAGCATTTTCTAATCATGCAATATTTTGAGTTAGAGAATGTTTGTTTTCATTATCTGCAGTGCCATAACAGAGTGATGTTCAAACAATTCCTGCAGGCTCAGGCCCTGAGCTATCTCCAGGTGGACAGTTGTAGGCTTGGAAGTGTCAATGAAAACTTGTCTGTATTGCTGATGGCCAAGAAGTTTCAAAGTAAGACTCCTGCAAATGTTGCAGTAACACCGAAAACAGAGAGAACAGAAATGTTAAAAATAGAGTGACACACATAAAGCCTTACATTTTATAATTCTTTGCAGCTGAGATAGATAGTTATTTTGAGGGTTTGGCTTCACCTAGAAGCCTGGCTTAAAAGCAGGCTCAGAGGCGTGAAGGTGAAATATGTATCAAAACAAATTACCTGTTTCTATAACAGTAACGAACAGCATGTGTCTTTCCAGATGCTGACCTCCAGCTCCAATCTAGATAGTGTAAGCGCAGATAACAAATGAAAATTGCATTCCCATTTACGGAGGGCCAGTTGGAAAGGATTATCAAGTCTGGGAAGGAATTTTTGAGGTGGAAAAAATACCAATAAATTTTACATCACTTTCCTCCCCGCCCCCAGTTCCAGTATGTCCTCATGCAGGAGGAGTCGGACTTTGTGAGTTGGTCCAGCACTTGATAATATTTGACTACATTTCAGTGTCTGGTAGCCTTGAAAATAGGTAAGAGATTTTGTTTGTATTTTGGAACACTTGAAGCAGTACTCATGTGTAGCTATGAAACAAAAATTAATCTCAGATTAGAGAAGACTAATGAGAATAAAGCCCTTTCTTTGTATAACTTTGAAAATGTCTTTAAAATGGAAACAGAACTGAATCTCACTAACCTTGACAAGTTACATTGTTCATCTGACTGGTATCTATAGGTAGTCCTCAACTTACAACCGGTTGCTTAAACAACCATTTGAAATTACAATGGGCCAGAACAGGTGCTTTATTCTTCTGTATGACTGGTTGCAGCGTTCCATGGTCATGTGATCACAATTTGTGAAGAAGGGAAGAATGAGTTTACACTTACGATTAATGACTGATTTGCTTAACTTCATTTTTGTCACAAAGTCGTAAAATTGGATCCAGTCATGGAGGTGCCTCCACAACTGGAACAACTTGCAACCAAAACAGCCTTTAACCGAACATCCATTTCCAGTTATAGTTATAATCAACCTGTATATTTTTATAGGTGGAATAGAAACCCTTAATAAGTGCAAGATAGTTTGAATCGTAAATATGGTATTTCATCTGTTTGTTTTTAGGATGTGCGAATATGTAGATCACTTGCACGAACACTTCAAGTATCCTGTAGTAATCTCAAATGCATCTTATATACCACCCCAGGTACTGCTTGCGTTCAATATTCAAAATATTTTCAGAGGTTTCACCATGAATTTTTATATGGAAAGCTAAAGGCAACAAAATTCAGATTAAAGATTTCTTAGCATTCCAATTCTGCTATTTCACAATGTTTGACACTATCAATTTTTGTGTCAGGCTTTTTCGTAAAGGATGTTCAAATGGGCTTTGTGCATTTATGATATTTGGCCTCCTAATCTTTATAGATTAGTTACTGAAATATTTAAGTACCTTGAAGCAAGTGTGAAGTTGAAGCCTCCACCTCACCACCAAATACAGTGGGTGATTTCAGCTACTCACTCACTCTTAGCCTAGCCTAATGTGGGGCAACGGTTTTACAAGAAAAGAGCAAAAATACAAATATAGATACAGTGAGGGGGAAAAATATTTGATCCTCTGCTGATTGTGTACGTCTGTCTACTGACAAAGAAATAATCAGTCTATAATTTTAATGGTAGGTTTATTTTAACAGTGAGAGATAGAATAACAACAAAACAATCCAGAAAAATGCGTTTCAAAAGTGATAAATTGATTTGCATTTTAATGAGTGAAATAAGTATTTGATCCCCTATTACTCAGCAAGATTTTATACAGGTAACGAGCTGAGATTAGGAGCATTCTCTTAAAGGGAGTGCTCCTAATTTCAGTTTGTTACCTGTATAAAAGACACCTGTCCACAGAAGCAATCAATCAGATTCCAAACTCTCCACCATGGCCAAGACCAAAGAGCTGTCCAGGTATGTCAGGGACAAGATTGTAGACCTGGAATGGGCTACAAGGCTGGAATGGACTACAAGACTATTGCAAACCATCTTGGTGAAGTGACAACAGTTGGTGCGATTATTCGCAAATGGAAGAAAATCAAAAGAACTGTCAATCTTCCTTGGTCTGGGGCTCCATGCAAGATCTCACCTCGTTGAGTTTCAATGATCATGAGAACAGTGAGGAATCAGCCCAAATCTACACGGGAGGATCTTGTCAATGATCTCAAGGCAGCTGGGACCATAGTCATCAAGAAAACAATTGGTAACACACTATGCTGTGAAGGAATTAAATCCTGCAGCACCCACAAGGTCCCCCTGCTCAAGAACAGGCCTGTCTGAAGTTTGCCAATTAACATCTGAATGATTCTGAGAACTGGGTGAAAGTGTTGTGGTCAGATGAGACCAAAATTGAGCTCTTTGGCATCAACTCAACTTGCCATGTTTGGAGGAGGAGGAATGCTGTCTAGGGCCCCAAGAACACCATCCCCACCATCAAACATGGAGGTGGAAATATGCTTTGGGGGTGTTTTTCTGCTAAGGGAAAAGGACAACTTCATCGCATCAAAGGGACGATGGATGGGGCCATGTACCATCAAATCTTGAGTGAGAACCTCCTTCCCTCAGCCAGGGCATTGAAAATGGGTCGTGGATGGGTATTCCAACATGGTAATGACCCAAAACACATGGCCAAGGAAACAAAGGAGTGGCTCAAGAAGCACATTAAGGTCCTAGAGGTGCCTAGCCAGTATCTAGACCTTAATCCCATAGAAAATCTGTGGAGAGAGCTGAAGGTTCGAGCTGCCAATGACTTGGAGAGGATCTGCAAAGAGGAGTGGGACAAAATCCCTCCTGAGATGTGTGCAAACCTGGTGGCCAACTATAAAAAATGTCTGACCTCCAATATCTCAGGGGCTGCCACAAAGAAGAGGGAGTCAAGCTATTCTCCAAGGCGCCTGAAGGCAGGACGAGAAGCAATGGGTGGAAACTGATCAAGGAGAGAAGCAACTTAGAACTAAGGAGAAATTTCCTGACAGTTAGAACAATTAACCAATGGAACAACCTGCCTCCAGAAGCAGTGAATGCTCCAACACTGGAAGTTTTTAAGAAGAGACTGGACAGCCATTTGTCTGAAATGGTGTAGGGTTCCTGCCTGAGCAGGGGGTTGGACTCGATGACCTCCAAGGTCCCTTCCAACTTTATTATTATTGTTGTTGTTGTTGTTATTATTATTATGTTTTACGAAGGGGTCAAATACTTATTTCACTCATTAAAATGCAAATCAATTTATCATTTCAATTTTTTGAAATGTGTTTTCTGGATTTTTGTTGTTGTTATTCTATCTCTCACTGTTAAAATAAACCTACCATTAAAATTATAGACTGATCATTTCTTTGTCAGTGGGCAAACGTACAAAATCAGCACGGGATCAATTACTTTTTCCCTTCATTGTACTAAATATTCCCTTATTGCTTACAAGAATTGTTGCCAAATCTTAACAATGCATTTATTTAGTTCATATTATTAAAATATGTACCAAATTAAACTAACCATATGGAGCACTTACGAGTAGGATATCTATTTTTATATAAATATGAAATCTTTCTTTTAGGAGGCTGGATATTCCTCTGAAATGAAAGAAGATTCTGTAAAGAAATACCTTTTTCCACAAGGAGAAGTCTGGCAGAAATCCTTGTCTTCCTCTAATGCAATTTAAATCAGTTCAAATTCCATTTTTTCCCAAATGAAGATAAAATTCAGCTATTTTTGCATTGATGTTATATTAAGATGCAAGAGTCAAGAGCTTTTAGAAAGCTTCTTCTGTTCACACAAAACAAAAATAGATTGTATTGCCAATGAATGTTCTTGATCAGTTTAAAAATAGGAGGCTTTTAATAGCTAAGTTTAAAGAAGTTAGATGATTCATCTGTCTTCAAGCTATTCCATAACTACAGGATTATGTAATGGAAGATTGCACTTTAAAATGTATGTGCCAAGATTAAATGTTCCAAGTAAAATTGAACTGCATGTTGTGATGCAATGTTTTCTAAGGTGGCTATTCCTTACAAAAAAGAGTTGAAAGCCTGACTCTAGGTATTTAAATTCTGGTGAACATTTAACATAGGATAGCAATAGGGCCAGGTTTGGGCAGATGACAGCGATGGCAGATTGTAGATATTAAAACACACATCAAGTTTTTGAAGACAACAGTGAAAACAATCTATTCCGCTAGTCAGAAAATAGTTCTTTTGAGACTTTAATGGGGATATCAGCAATAGATGATGAGCTAGAGCAGTGATGGCGAACCTTTTAGAGACCGAGGGCCCAAACTGCAACCCAAAACCCACTTATTTATCGCCGGGTGCCAGGTGGGCATGGCCTGAGTGGGCGTGGCTGTGGTGGTCATGGCAGACTGGATGGGTGTGGCCAAGGTGGACGTGGTCATCTCAATGTTGCTCGTGGGGAGGGATGCCTGTGGGGGCCGGGCAGGGTTTGGGGAGATCCAGGGGGTCTCTGGCAGGTGGGGTGGTGGGCAGGAGGCTCATCCTGCAGGGTGAGGCGAGGCAAGGAGAGGCAGGGGTGCTATTGCCTTAGAGCAAGGCGAGGCAAGGACCGGGGCGGCTTCTGCCTGACACCATCGGCCCCCGCACATAGAGGCCAGTGAGCACATGGGGGCCGACAGTGTCCATCAGCAGCCACAGCCTGCCAGCCCCTCAATCGGCACACTCTGGGGCTCCACAGCCACCACCAGCAGTTCAGAGAAGCCACTTCTGAGCTGGACGGACGACCGACAGTTGAGGAAGCGATGCAGTGGGTCGTGCCCGGGAAAAGGAGAGAATGCGAGGCCAGGAGGGATGGGACCGGGGGGGGGGGGAGCAAACTAGCCGTGCTGGGATGTATCCAGCCATGTGGAACCTCGCCAAGTTAGCGGGCGGCTGGTTGAAGAGGGACGGTTGCCATCTCCGGGCCATGGCGCGCGTGCCCACAGAGAGGGCTCTGAGTGCCACCTCTAGCATGCGTACCATAGGTTCGCCACCACTGAGCTAGATTTTGAGCTAAGGGCAACACTTATAACTTGAATTCTTTCACAGAACAGCTCTGGTGGAAAGGCATATTCTTGGTGGGATGATCAGTAGCAGAGATTGGACTTTTCCCCCACAGCTGTTGCTCTTTCTATCTTATCACCCAAATCTATCTGTTCCAGGCCAGAATTCTTAATACAAAATATTTCTATACTCTAGAAAAGTACAGAAGTAGAGCTCTTTGAATCCCATTATTCTTACTTTATAAACTTACTATATTTGAAGTTGAATCACACTCATTCCTATAAATAAAAAAATGCTAGAATCTGGGACTTTGTAGTATGCCTGATTTCTACATTACTTTTAAGTACCAAACATAAAAAAACCCCAGCCTGGTAGGTAGCAAGGAAAGGCGTTAGGATATTAATCTCAAAAGACATCACAATATTCCAGCTTTTTCTTACAGTTCAAAATAAGTGTAGAACTAGTTTCACTTTGTAGCGTGTTTACCCGAAAGTAAGACCCAGCCCAATAGTAAGCCCTAGCTTGTTTTTTGGGTGTGGGGCTAATATAAGTCCTACCCCAAAACCAAGCCCTTGTTTTGGGGCGAGGCGCACCCCTAAAAATCAAGCTAGGGCGGGGGTAGGGGGATGAAGCTACCCCACACACCCTGCACCCACTTACCTTACCAGTAGGACCACCACAGCCAGGCCTCCTACACCCCTATACCTGTTGCGCCGCTGCTTGATTTCTGCAGCTGCTTGCCACTTGCAGCTAGATGCCATGTGGTGCATTCCGCTGTTGCCACTGCTCGTGGCAGGCAGGACACATGGTGCTTGAGACGCTTCTGCTGCTCGTGGCAGGAGGTAACGTGGCGTTTCTGGCCATTTCCGCTGCTCCTGCCGCAAGCAGTGGAAGCGGCCCAAAGAGCCACGTGGACTCCTGCTGCGAGTAGCAGCGGCCCAAAGTGCTATGCAAGCAGAAGCAGCCCAAACTGCTGTGGCTTCTTGCCGCTAGCAGCAAAAGCGGCCTGAAGTACTATGTAGTATCCTGTGGCGAGCAGTGGCAATGGCACAATGTCAGGGTGTGGGAGGCCTGGCTGTGGTGGTCCTAAGGTAAGACACTCCCCGAAAGTAAGACCTGGTGCCTCTTTTGGAAGCAAAAAAAATATAAGACCGGGTCTTATTTTCATGGAAACATGGTAGTTAAAATGAACACGAAATTAAGGTCCTGCCAATCTGTAGCAAAAAGGAAAATTCCCTGCAAGTTGCAGGGAAATAATGTAGCTTTTAGATAGTGCAGGAGCCATTCAATCCTACTCCAAATCTTAGTGTTTTGCATAAGTATGCACGGGACAGCTCTGTAAAACAATCTGGATAGTGAGGGGTACTTGGTGCTCTCTGAGCTTGCTTGTTTTCTTGCAGACATTTCATTACCCAAACTCAATAACATCATCAGTGTAAGGTGTGCTGTTTGTTGTCGGTTTATATTCTGGTGGCTTGCCTGTCAGTGTTTTTTGGCCACCAAACAGCACTCCTTACTAGCACTGATGATGTTACCGAGTTTGAGTAATGAAACATCTGCAAGAAAACAAGCAAGCTCAGAGAGCACCAAGGACCCCTCATGTCAACCCTGAGCTACAAATATTCTCCTTTATTGGAATCTGGATAGTTCTAAAAAATTTTATCATAGCTTCAGCCGTTTTGGAAAACATCAGTAAAATTAGTCTATTTCATTTTAAAGTTGCTATCTACTTCCCTAAGTTATATTTTGTTGCATTTTTCTATTCTACAGTGTTTTCCTACTGGAACTTTGCCAGGTTAGCTTGAAAAATGAGTGATGCCGTACATCTTTCTCTTAAGATTTCAACTAACATTTATTACAACATATATGATTTATTGGATAATTCCAAACTACAGAAACCCTTTATATGCCCTGTGCATGATGCATATATAAGAGTTTACTTCAGATTCAAGCGTCATATGAAAACTGAACATTTTTTTTAAAAAAAAATGGGTTTTGACCTTTTGAATGATTTGAATACAAATAATGCTTAATACATTAACTCCAAGCCGAACATTAAAACAGTTGCAGAAAAAGTTCATTAGACAGCCATTTCCATTTTAATGGCTGGATGTGGTTGATAGTCCTCTATCTCAAAGTCATCTGCTCTGAAGTCATTGATGTTTTCAACTTTACGAAGAATTTTGAGCTTAGGGAAAGGTCTTGGTTGCCTCTGAAGCTGAAATTTAAATAAATGTATATAACATAGTATAGAGCTCAATTAAGTGCTGAACCGATTGCTTATTGAAGATACTTTTTATTCGTAAATTATATAAGCTTTGATTTAAAACACTAGAGAATCTAGTTCAGACATGTCAAACTCGTGACGTATCGGAGCTTTTTTGCCATTGCCGGCAATGGGGTGGGCACGACTCTGGTATGATGAAACCGGCCCACGGGCCGGCAGTTTGACACCCCTGATCTAGTTCATAGGGTGACATAATATATAATTGTACCTGAAGATGTACCAGTAGCAATTCAACAGCTGTGAAAATGCTACCCTATTAAACTAGCTTTCATCTGCTAGTATGTAAGCCACTGCATTTTGCAACAACTGAAGATTCCAAGTGGCCTTCAAAGGTCAGCCCCTTGACAGCACATTGTAATAATGCAATCACAAAGTAATGGGGACATAAATGGAGCCATCCACTCCACCTGTTTTTCTAGCAGTAGCCATTAATCCAGGTTACTCACAAAGCTACTGAAAATCACATACAAGCTTCCTCCAAGGTAGCACAAATCTTTCCACAATTAGAAAAGAGGTCACCAGAGAACCTAAAGATTTTGGGCAAGTGTTTAGTCTTGTTGGGAATCAACTTTTGCTTATTTTGACCCATCCAGACGCATGCATCTCCTGCCCAACCTAGGCTAGAAATATAAAACTATTATCTATGTAACGATTATGCCCATGTGTTATCTCCTCCAATTGTGCTGTGTTAAATAAGATAGGAAAATGCATCAAATTCTGCAGTACTCCAGCTCAACATTTCTGCCCAATACTGACAAAACTATCAATTCAGGAAGACGCAAAACTACAAAACTAACTCCTAAGATTTAAAAATTATACTCCATCCAGATCCTGCTGGAAATGAGGAGTATCTAGTACATACAATGGTTATATTAAAAAAACATGGGAGTAATTAATTGATATAATTACCTGTATTTTCAAGGGTTCAATATGGTTTAAATATATATGAGCATCCCCTAATGTATGTATGAATTCACCAGGCTATATAAAAAAAGATAATCATTTAGTATATGAATTAAGAATAAACACAGAAAAATAAGCATGCTGCTAGACAAGTTTTGTTTCCTGAATGTACTGATTCTTCTTCTTCTAAACATTGGTTTGTTTATACTCCAAAAGTATTTCTTTACATCTATGTTCTGTTGTTTTTTTCTGAGAACCTAGGTTGCTTAGAGTCTTCCCTTATTTTATCCTACACAGTATTAACCAGGTAAGGTACATTGGGCTAAGAGAGAATTCCCTTCCAAGTATTTATCTGACACATAGGGTGGTGCAATTCTCTCTCCAAGATTTAAGTAGAAATAGAACTGGGCTCATGTTTTGTTAAATTCAAGTACAACTTTCCTAAATGGATCTCATCTGTTTGGGAAAAAGAACAGACTCATTCAGTCCCTATTTTGTTCATACAATGCCTTAAGTCACCCAATATGTTCCATTTAGGGGGGCTTCATCCTGCACCAACCAGGTCCAACTTCTTAACTACTACAGATTCCAGTAGGACTGTATCTTCCTTATTCTGAATCAAATTTAAATGTATGCATTTTTGTGTGTTTGGAACAAGATGAACCCATAAAACTTCATTTTTCACACTTCCACAAACCATCAATCTTTATCATGTAGTTATTGCTGCTATTTCAGTTATTGCAATACAGCAATGAATTTTGCAGATAAGCAAAAAAGTTTATAAGATAT